AAGTTTAACGAGTTGCCACATAGGTAAGCCATGAATTGCAGCATTTATTGAGCCTTTAGCTGTTACAGATTGTAACACTTTATGGGTTGTGAAATCAATCATCACGATGTTTGCATCACATTCTGCACATAAGCCTAGTAATATTTGTATGCATATCTTTTGAGTATTAGGTTTATAATAACGAGTTGTTAAAACAGCATTCTTGTCAACTGTGTACAGGAAAGTGTCTGAAACGCAATATGTATATGTAAATGTATTTATTTTTTATTACAGTCAATTAAACTATACTAATCTCAGTTAAACTATTTTACATTTTTTAATATATGAGTTTGTGAGTACTTAGTTTGTAAACTGCGTGCAAAGAGAAATGTATAAATACTATGTACAGAAACAAAGAAAAAACCTACTGTGTATTTTTTTTGAAGGTTTTAATTATGTTATTTAAGTACTAAAAACTACTTATTTTCTATGTAGTTTAATAGTAAAACAGAAATTTAAAATTCTTTTTATTTAGTGTTTAGCAGACGATCCTACTTCTGAAGAAACTATTCGAGACTTGTCGGGCCACAATTTGTTCAACAGATTTGGTTTGTTTAAAATACAGTAAAAAGTATTTAACTAAGTAAACTTATTACTTGGAATAAATATACTTACATTCATGAAAGCGACACATTGGGTTTGTGGAATTATCCATGAAGACAACAATTCTCGAGTAATAATCGTTCAGAATTGAATTGTTTGAGAACTTTTCTGTATCTTCAAACGTAAGCATGTTGTTATTATCGTTAGTATCATAAACGGAAACATTTCTATTCAAAAAATCCCATGATATGACGAACGTTCGCCATTCAGTCCCAGATAGTGGTAGTAACTAAAATAATTATGAGTGGTAAATATAATGTTTGAGTAGTTGGCTTGTTTGTGTCAGATTCTCTGCTTTTTTTTCTATTTTTTCCGATATATTTTTTTTTGTCAATGTCGTACATACTTACACATAATCAATTATATTTCAAGTACAAGTGTTCTTTGTTAAGTCTTGATTTTAATATTTCTTGATTATGTAGAAGAAAGAAAAACCTTGAAAATCACAAAACTAAAAAAAATGTAGTATATATATATCTTACTTGTTTGGAAATGGTGTTGTTAGAAGAGCGCTGTTGATCTTGATTTGTCTTTAAATGCTTAATCTTGTTTTCATATTTAATACTGGACGCCGTACTATCGCATCTTAAATGTATTTTAAAGCAAATAGCCTGATAGTCGAAGAATCTGTATGTATAAAAAACAATACAGACAGAAACCCAGATAACCAAATTTGTCGAAACAGATTTTGCCAAATGCATGTTACAAATTTTGTTAGCAGAAAGACATCAAATATGATGCAGAGTTTGTTTTATCTGGCAATGTTGCAAAATTGTTAGCAAAAATATATCCAAGCTTGTTAACAAAACATAACAGCAAATTGCTGGCAAAAACCGAGCAAAGCTTGCACATAATTTGAGACCAAATTGATGCCAAATATGAAGCAAGATCTGCGCAACACGACTTGATAGCAAAATAACAGCAAAAACCGAGCAAGACTTGCAGTTTAGTCAAACTACATGGTATTTAAAAGGCCATTTAATTATATCTTGACTTATTTCTAAATTGTATATACACACTATCTATAATCCATA